ACCAAGAAACCCCAGTAATAGCCTATAAGGGTCCAACCAGCAACCCAATCTAGGACTACACTCTGACCAGCGTACCCACCGCTCCAGAGATGGGGAGAAATGACAAACTCGGAAGTCATGGTATGTAGTCACCTAAGCTGCTATGACATGTCGTACTGTCAGATTTCCTTTTACGTGTATTTACTCCGGGATATAGGAATTAGGCTCTACTACTCTGTATACCTTACAGTACCCGCACCCATAATACTTTAAATATTTCATGAAACTTGTGTACAACAGCTTGGTGGTCTGGGGAACAGAGCAAATAGCAAACCAGGTTTCCTTTCTCTGAGCTGGATACCTTCCAGTGCTATCTCAAATATATACTGCCTCTAATACTCCCCACAAGTAATCATTAACTATGAGGGTCACCAGCACCTAGATAAACAAATTTCCTTCACTTTTAAGCGATATTCACATTAAAAAAACAACAACAACAAAAAAAAAAACACTGCTTACTTTAAGAAGAGAAAGCGCACTGCTCACTGGTGGTGGCCTGATAGAAGAGGAGGAGGAACATGTGCTTCAGAACATGGAGCCCAACTCCACTGACTCACAGGGCAGATAAGAACTGCTCCGTGGGGTTGGCAGAGCTGTAAACCCTTACAGGCGCAGACAGCCCCATCCTTCTACCTGAGGGCAGCTAAGGCCCAACCCTTAGCCCTGCAACACCAGGGGCTCTTTCATAGTATGTGTGTATATATATATATATACATACGCACACACACACACACACACTATAAAATGCCATACATATTTTATATATATACTATATAAAAACCCGACTGCCACTGTCTGCATTCCAACTCATAGTGATCCCACACAGGGGTTCTAAGACTAAATCATTTATTCTTAACAGTGCTACCATGGCTATTTAGCTTTTTTACAAATAAAAAGAAAGAAGTATACAAATAATCTCTGAAAAGGAGATGCCAGCCTGATTAACAGGCTAGCCAGCAGTGTTACATCTGTGAACAAGTGAGGTTTCTTTGCACAGGAATTGTTTTAACCCCACACTCCTCCCAAGGAAACTAGAAGCCACACTGCTTCCAATTCATCAACAATGTTTCTATCCTCTAACTGCTAACTGCAAGGTCGGTGGTTCAAACCCACCAGTCAAGACTGGGAACCCTATACAGGGTTGTGATGAGCTGGAGTCAACTCAACAGCACTTAACAACATAAGAGAGTCAGAAATGAAGCTGTCTGATGTGTGCAGCAGAACACAGCTCCTTAGGGGAGGTGGTGGTTGTCAAGTACTGAGGGATTTGGTCGTAGTGATCCCGGTGGGTTTGAATTGCTGATCTTGCAGCCCAATGTGACACCAGGAAGGTAGACTTTGGTTTTTCTTACTCAACAGACATACAACACAATGCGATAATATTTCCAGAGAAACATACAGGTGACTCTGGGCAGTTATAAGCAAGTATCCAAAGATCTAAATTTTAAGAGGATTACACCCTGGATGTGGGTTGTACAGGGAGAATATGTACCACACTGAGACACAGCTTCCCTTTCCAGCAGGTGTAGACCACATACACATGGAAAAGACGTATTGATAATACAGTACTTTTCTGTCTTTCCTTCATACTCAGTATGTGTCCTCTCTCATTCATTGTAAGCATTCAATGGTTGGTGAATGAAGCATATAGAAATATATGTTGTTGTTTTAAGTGCCATAGAGTCAGTTCTGACTCCTATGTGAATCCTTTATAGGGTTTCTGAGGAGAAAGCTGGTGGATCAGAACTGCCAGTTATAGTTCAAAGTCCAGTGTTGACCCTACAGCACCACACTAGAAATATCAAACCCTTTGTCTTTGTTAATCTACGTGAGGTGTTTCAGGGGAAAAAAGAAAGGGAGGCATCTTACCAGTACATAGTTCAGCACATCATTTTAGGTGAGGTGCCCTGGTGGGACAGTGTTTAAGCACAAGCGCTTAGCTGCCAACAGAAATATCCCACCAGCTAGTCTTTGGGAAAAAGATGTGGTGCTTGGATATGAACAGATGGCAGGCTGGGAAACCCAATGGGGTAGTTCTGGGTCCTACAGGGCTGCTGTAGGTCGGAACTGACCCTATGGCAATGACTGTGATTTGGTTTTATAGTAGGAATAATGCAACAGACAGCGCTGACACCACCCGCCCCAGACTGCCTTTCTTCTACAGATGACACTGCCCATCATTTTTTGTACTTTTGCAATGCATCATGGGATGTCTATTTCATACTCCTTATTCTCATCTGTTGCTATTTTAATGAGTCCTGATGTGGCATCTCAGGAGAAGTACTTGACCTCAAGGTCATTGGTTCAAACTCACCAGCCACTCCTTCGAAACCCTATACAGGGTCACTATGAGTTGGAACCAATTCGATGGTCCTTAACAACAACAACAGTGACATAAATGAGAAATATCATGTTGTTTATTAGTTAGGTTTTTACATTTTCAAGAAAAGTCTTCCTTTTTACATACTACCTTAAAAGTGTCATTTTAAAAGTCAGCTTAAGGCCATCTAAGAAGCCCTAGGGACAAAAGTCCGTTAGCTCAGTTGGTAGAGCATGAGTCGTTTAATCTTCAGGTCATGGGTTTGAGCTTCATGCAGTCTGGTTTTGAGTACTGGGGTGGCACTGTAGGGTAAGAAAGTCGATTGCTATCCCCAAGGTCCACAGTTCAAACTCACCAGCCATTCCTTGGAAACCCTACACAGGGTCCTACTGAGTTGGAACTGACTCAATGGCACATAATAACAACAGGAACAAAATAGTTAAGCTCTCAGCTACTAAGTAAAGGGTCTGAGGTTAACCCCCCTTCCACCTCCAGCCACTCAGTGCAAGCACCATGTCTGCTTCTGTGCAGATGACAGCCTTCTTTCTGTCCTACCAAGTAGCTGCAAGTCTGAATCAATGCCAGGGCACTGGTTTGAGTTCTGTGTTAATTTTGTTGTTACGTACAGGTGATTCAGTCCCAACTCATAGTGATCATGTATAGGGTTTTCCAAGGAGTATCTGGTGGGTTTGAACCACCAACCTTGCAACTGGTTGGCAGTCCAGTGCTTATCCTACAGCGCCCCACGCATGGCTCAGGATTAATTTTAAGTGTGGGCTTATCAACAATTCCAGCACTGCCTGAGCTCCAACTGGAACAAAGTCTTACAGCAACCATGATAAACAAAAATGCTAAGAATGAATATGTAAAAACACACATTTGATATTCTATCCAAAAGAGATTTTAAAATGAAAACAGAAGATCAAATTGGATATCTAGAATAACTAAAAAGCACATGTCAAACATTAAACTCAAGTAATCTGGGGTTGTTTTTTTTTGTGGTAATTTTCTCAAGCAAAAGCTAAAGACAGTTATCTATGTATGTGTATGTATAAACACACACCCTAAGCCTTTATCTCTCACAAGCTAGTTCAGATGATAAGATTACTCAAATATGCAAATTTCTGAAACACATCACTCTATAGGTTCCTGGTGTCAAAGAATTCCCACTGATAGGAACAATCTGGGAAATTCCATTAAAGCCAAAGATCCTAAAAGAAGGCAAAGGAGTATGAGTCTGGGAAGCAACTTTGAATTCTGAAAATGATACTGATGAGAAACTGGAAAAGAGAAGAGGGGCTGAGTACAGGGAACGAATCGAGCAGCAGAGAATAGCAAATGTGTCAGAAGTGACTCAGCTGAGAAGTGTGTAAAACTGGGGTCAATTGACAGACCCACTAATATGGTGGGTAAAATCAAGGCACTGCACACATTTTAAAAAGTATTCACGTATTCAAGGACGATGACTGGGACACGGGCTGAGTAGCTACAAGCTCAGGGCTAAAGTGGTTACAGTAGCCGTTTTATTTTTCAAAGATTCAACCAGCAACATCATTAAGCAACTGAAACACTGTACAGAGCAACTGAAACACTGTACAGAGAATAAGTACAACAATTCAAATAATTCGTTTCCTGAATGGGAACGTGAGAACTCGTTATTACTTGGGATATTGTATTTGATTTCATTCTCAAGACCTACAAAGGAATGGTAAACTGCCTGAAACAGCTTTTCCATTTTCTTCAACCCATTACTGAAATACACTTAATGAAGCTTATCAATCACGCCCTAAATGGATCAGATTAAGAACATCGAAAGCTTCCATTTACTGCGCAGAGTTCTGTATACTAGCATGATTAAATTTCTGCGTGTATTTACATATGAATTATTACACATAGGTGACAACCAGTAATTCGGTTGGAATTTTCCAACTGAGATAAAAAGAAAACGTTTTTCTGGGCCAATTTTTAAAACCGGGGGGGGGGGGGGCGACCACACACAGTTATCTTGCGGGCAAATAAGCCCTGAAGCGAAGCGGGCAGCTCGGAGATTTTTTTAAAAACCGCATTCACAACCCTACAAACAGCCGATCAGGCATCCCTTGTTTGGAAACCTTTCACATGAAAATGAAACACAAACAACTGGCCACAAGCTCGCCACGGGGCGCCACCCGCTCCCCGCGAGCCTTTAGGAAGTCAGATTGGTGAATTCCGAGAGAGAAACGTTTGAGTGGGGGAGGGGAAGGCAGCTGGGTTCCGGGTCCGCGCTCCGAACCGCCGGCCTCCATCAACATACAAAGAGAAAGGCAGGCGCTGCGACTCCGCCGGGGCGGGGCGCCGGGACGGGAAGACGTTACCAACGGACTGCGCGCAGGGAGCTAGGCAACCGGGCCACGACGACAGCCCCCGCCACCTAGCGGAGCTCGGGAGCCGGGGACCCGGTTGGGGGCTGCACCACCCGCAGGCAGGGAGGAGGATCCCCTAGCTCTCCCGGAGCGCAGGTCCGGTACGCGCGCGAGCGGCGGGGCCTAGCGGGGGTTGAAGCGGCGCAGGGGAGGGGACCCGCAGCGACGACACGGCGGCGGCGACACGCCGGCCCCGCCACCCTCCGCCCTCCGCGTCGCCCGGCCGCGCAGCGTCTCACCTGCAGGTGACCTGTTTCGTCCAGCCGCCGCTGCCACCGTCGCTGCCGCCACCACCGCCCCCCGCACCCGGGGCCGGCGAGGTGACGGTGGGGATAGGGGTGGGGGAGGCCGCTGCCACCGCCGCCGCTGCCGCTCCTGCTCCAGATGTTGTGGCTGTTGTTCCGGGAGCTGCAGCCTCCGCCATTACTGTTTATCCCACACAGCAATGGCACCGGAACTTCCGGGGTTACATAGTTCCGGCCCGGTTCCGGGGAGGGGGCGGGGAAAGGGGGGGGAGGAGACTGCGACGCTCATTGGTCTCGGCGGCACGCGTCGCGTTTGCGTGCCTTGGTCGCTGGGACGGTGAGGGGCGGTGCCGGAGCGGTGCGGCCCGCCCCTAGCCTCCTCCGATTGGTGGAGGAAAGCACCCGTTAAAGGGGTGGGGCCAGGGCTGGGCCATTAACCAGGTGTCAAGTTAAAGCAACAACGTGGGCAATAAATTAGTTTTCCTCAAGCCTCAGTTTCCCTACCTCTCCAGTGAGAATGCTACTAGGTCCTACTTAATAGAATTGCTGAGAGGATTTGGAAATGATCGAGTTTGGTGCTGGTACTTAAAATTTTTAAATGCACTGCCCTGGAGTCATTTCCAGCTCACAGCGGGCCTAAAGCACACAGTAGAGCAACTCCTTACCGTTTCCAAGTCTGTCATCTTCACGAAAGCAGACTGCCACATCTTTGTGAGAGCGAACCCACTGCACTGAAATATGTGTACCATTCAGTTGGTTCAGACTCATAGACCCTGCATAGGGTTTCTGAGATGGAATCTTGGTGGTTGCCAAGTGCTGAGAGTCAGTTCGGACTCATAATGACCTTATGTAGGATTTCCAAGGAGCAGCTGTTGGATTTGAACTGCTGACCTCATGTTTAGCAGTCCACTGTTTATCTTACAACGCCACACCAGGATTCTTGTTAAGTGCCATTAAGCTGGTTCCTACTCATAGTGACCCTGTGTAGGGTTTCCGAGGAGTAGCTGGCGGGTTTGAACTGCCAACCTGTGGGTAACCATCCAGTGTTGATCCTTCCGCACCACACCAGGATTCAACGCAGATACATTGTTGTTGTTAAGTAAGTCAGTTGGGAGTCACAGCAAGCCTGTGTAGAATTTCTAAGGAGCGGCTAGTGAATTTGAACCGCTGACTCTGCGGTTCAAACCGACTTGTGATCCAGTGCTGATCCTATAGTGCCACACCAGGACTCCAAGGACATTGTCGTTGGGTGCCATCAAGTCGGTACTAATAGGAACCCTACGCACAACAAAACAAAACCTGCCAGGTCCTGGGCTAACCTCACAGTTGTGAAGTACAAAGTAAACCATTAATAAATATTCACACATCATCTTCCAGCAGTGTGATCTTGGCCAAGTATCTTAAGCTCTCTGAGCCCAAGAGAATAAATAGCATGTGGCATGGCATAGGATAAGCACTGGACTGCTAACCACAAGGCTGACTGTTCAAACCCCCCAGCCACTCCTAGAAACCCTACACAGGGTCTCCATGAGTTGAAATAGACTGGACAGCACTTACCAACAACAACAAGCAAAAGTTATGAAGTTTTGGTGGACAGTGCTCTGCTTCTGACAACCAAAAGGCTGGGCTTCAAACCCACCAGCAGCTTTGCGAGAAAACACAACCTTGGAAGCCCTCTGGGGCAGCTACACTCAGACCTATAGGGTGGCTATGATTCAGAATTCTACTGGACAGCAATGGATTTAAGCACATGCCCTGGAGTCAGCTTTTCTGGGTTCATCTCCCCATTTCTCCCATCCTAGTTATGTCTTTGAGCAAGTTTCCTTAGCTCTGGGTATTTGACTTTTGGGATCTATAAAAAGATTATGATAGTACCTAAGCCAGACATAATTGTGAGGAATAAACAAAGAACTGTGTTAAAGCCTTAGTGCTGGGTTTCAGTTAGTGCTTTATAGATAGTGTGGCGCTGTAGGATCAGCACTGGACTGCTACCTATAGATTGGTGGTTCAAACCCACCAGCCACTCCTTGGAAGCCCTATACAGGGTTGCTATGTGGTTGTTGTTAAGTGCTGTTCAGTTGGTTCTGACTCATAGTGATTCTGTATAGGATTTCCAAGGTTTTAAATAGTCTCGGGAGCAGAAAGCTTCATCTTTCTCCCGTGGAGGGGCTGGTGGCCTGGAATCACAGACCTTGTAGTTTGCAATCCAGTCCTTACCAGTACGCCCCAGGACTGCTGTGAGTAGGAACCAATTCAATGGCACTTAACACCAACAACTACAGATGTCTGCAATTGTCCAGTTTTGAGTTGTTTTTGTTGTTAAGAGTCAGTTCTGACCCATAGTGACCCTGAACAGGGTTTCCGAGGCTGTAAATCTTTACAGGAGCAGAAAACCTCCTCTTTCGCCCGCGGAGCAGCTGGTAGTTTCGAACTGCTGACCTTGGCAGTTCACAGCCCGATTTGTAACCACTACGCTACCAGAGCTCCCTCTAATTTATGAAAGTCAAAATGTACTTAATCTTGCTTTTCTACTAATGCCCCCTGTTCACTCCAATCCTGAGTATAAAACTGTGACCTCGCACGGGCAGCTTCTCCCTGTATTCTCTATGGTCTCTCTGCCTTGAGAAAGTCAGAGCCAGCGTCACTGATGGTCAGCCCAGGACGTACCTATCAGACATAAGGACAGTAGCAGAACCACGGCAAACAATGTTGCTTCCAAGGCCTCACCAAAGCTATGGAGAGACCAGCCATCTCCTTCTGAGTAATTATCTTCTTTCCACTAATGATCCCCTCCTCCAGCCTCCTGGACAAAGCTGCTGGAACACCCAGTTCTTAAACTGCGCGCCCCTCCTGAGCTGGTCTCCTTTCCCCATTCCTGCAGACTCTCTCTGCAGTGGGCCCTCCATCTCAACAGACCCATATCGCTCCCATCTGGTAAGAAATGGAGCTTCCTTTGACTACAGATATGGTTCTGGAAGTCCGCATCTGTGGGGTCAAGTGATACTTTGGTTTTTAAAGTCAGCAGTATGAGGAATACCTTACTGCTGTATGTTAAGACAAAGAGTCACACAGGTAAGTAGCATAGTTCTTCCACCTGAGGTTCCACATGGCAGCTGATTTCGTGATGTCCAGGAGCACACTTTGCAAGCCCATTGTTCCCAGTGGCTCCTGGGATCTGTGCTGAGGTCCTCCTGCAGGACAAGCTCCTGTACCTCTGATTCAGCTCTGAAGAGGCAAGCTGTCCCAGTCCAAGTCCAGGTCCTTGTGTGGAATTTAAAAACCGTAACGGAGGGATGTCCCATCCCCACTACACCTGTTGCATCCCTCAGATCTTACCCAACAGGGTGGCAGCCACATGATACTTTTGAAAGGAACACACGTGACAGTACACCTTTGCTGAAAGCCCTCCAGCGAGGACTGGGATCTGCGTAAATCCTTACAAGTCTGACTCCCAAATACCCCACGTGGGTCAAAATAGAACTGTGCTCCAAAAAATTTTCAGTGGTTGTTTTTTTTGGAAAATGAACATCAGGCCTTTCTTCTGAGATAACTGTGGATGGGCTCAAACCTCCAATCTTTCCGTTAGCAGGCGAGTATGTAACCGGTATGCACCACCCAAGAATATACAATGTTTCATCTGGTTGGGCCCTTCTCTGTGTGTCGTCCCCCTCACCCAGCCTGTCCCCTAGGCTGCCTCTTTCCTGGGAACTCGGGTGCGGTGCCTCACTCCCACGCTCATGCAGGTTCGCGTTAGCCTTGGCTGTGTTCTCTGCTGCAAAGACTTACTCTTCAAGCATTTGCTTGTCTAGCTTCTTCAAGTCTTAGCTTAAATCTCTATTTCTTATCCTGGCTGCCTTTAAAGTGCGGCACCCTCTTTCCTCACCTCTACTCTGGTGCATCCCACATCTTCATCTTCCTATTCTGTCGTGTCCCCCCCCCAACCCCAACCCCACCCCCACCCCCCACCCCCCTGCAAGGCCAATGACCTACTCACTGGAAATATTCAGATGGTAATCTGCTGCAAGAAACCTCTTTAAAGTGTTAAAAAAGGAATCACATTTTTGCCTAAACAAAGCCTTGGTATTTTGGTATTTTCAGTCATCTCATATACATGTGAAAGCTAGACAATGCATAAGGAAGACCATAGAAGAATCGATGCATTTAAATTATGGTGTTGGCAAAGAATATTGAAAGTACTATGGACTGCCTGAAGAACAAACAAATCTGTCTTAGAAGAAGCACAGCCAGAATGCTCCTTAGAGGCAAGAATGGCTAGACTTTGTCTCTCATATTTGGGACATGTTATCAGAAGGGACCAGAGAAAAACATAATGCGTAGTAAAGCGGAGGGTCAGCGGAAAAAAGGAAGACCCCCAACAAGATGGATTGGCACAATGAATCCAACAACAGGCTCAAACATAGTTAACAATTGTGAGAATACTCAGGATTGGACAGTGTTTATTCTATTGTATGTAGACAGGGTTGCTACAAGTTGAAACTGACTTGATGGCAATTAACAACAGTTTCTTTATTGTATAGCATTTACTTTAGAGCTTACAGTAGAAATTGCTGTACGTTTGTTGGTCACACCTAATTAGATATAAGTGTGGCACTATGGGATAATGCACTGGACCACAAGGTCGTTTGAACCTCAGGGCCAGTGGTTCAAATTCACCACCCACTCCTTGGAAACCCTATACAGGGTTGCTATGAGTTGGAACCAATTTGACATCACTTAACAACAATGTTCCTTTTTTCACTGATGTATCCCAGGTGTCTGAAATAGTGTCTGACATATAGTAAACTTCCTCCCCCCCCCAAACCAACCAGTTCACTGAACCAATCCTACCTCTTGGAGCCCATTGTGTGTCTGTCACACAACGATTGTGTTCCAGAGGGTTTGTACGGGTCTGACCTTTTGGAGCAGATTGTGAGGTTTCTTATCCAAGGCAACTCTGGGTGGTTTCAAACCATCAACCTTTTGGATAGCAGTCAATTGCTTAACTGTTTGTATTCCCAAGGACTCCTAGGCATAGAGCCATTGTTGTTGTTGTTATTGTGTGTTGTCAAATAGGTTCTAACTCACAGTGATTCTATATAGGGTTTCCAAGGAACAGCTGGTGTGTTTGAACCCCTGACTTTGCAGTTAGTAGTCCAGTGCTTATCCTATAGCACCACACTATGACATACAGTAGGTGCTGA